ACTATTATATTATATAATTTACTTTTGTGATCAATAAAGTATTTTTTAATTGAACAACTACAATATACTCACACTCACTGCACAGATGTGAAATTATTTTAAATAAATTGATTTTTGTGCTTGACTGTTATTTTGAAATGTACAAAAAGCGAATAAAATGTAATTGTTTTGATTTTTCATTACCTATTGATAATTGATAGCCTATTGATTTCCATATGTCAAATCAGAACTTAAGTCATAATTAAATGATCCGTCACATTCTACTTTGGAACTGTAACTAATATTGTACGTCACAGGTCTGTGGGACAGCAAAGAACCTGGAACCCAAACGTCTAAGCCAGATAAATTTCAAACGYCASAAGGCAGAGCATCATTTCAACTCTAACTCCAGGGCTTTAATGACAGAAGTACTCCCAAACACACATCATCATCTTTCACACAAAGACTTCAGAGATGGTGTTAGCAAAGCACAAATTCAGCCACTTTTCCTTCTCCAGAAAACACTAATTGAAATTTGACATGATGATGTACTGACAACACTGAATGTAAGAATTTATGTACTTTATTACTCCTTGATAAACAATAAAAAAGTGTCAAATTACATTTATGGTTTTGATAAAATTCATTTTTACTTAAAATGCTAAATTATATATGTTCAGTTGCCTTTTCTGTTTGTGAAATGCATTGCCTTCATAAAATATGTTAGCAACAAAACATAAAAATGGGAGCAATCAAATCAAATAAATTTTATCACATACACAACGTTCAACTTGCAGTGAAATGTTTTTATGACAAAAATTGAAGTTTAAAAGTACACAGAACACAGTAAAAAATCCTGAATTTTTTTGTGTAATGAAATGTGACCCATCACATCGAAACGAGGATTAAGTCCAAAAGTGGTATATGGAGAAATAGGCAAATATAGTGTTTTGACTAAAATGTTAACAAAAATTGCATTTTGTCAAAATATAATGAATAAAAGCCTTATCAATGTATCAGTTGAATGAACTGTCTGAAATATAATCATAAAACAAAATTTTGAAGCACTATTTTGAACAGTAGCAATAAAAAAACTGATTTTGAGGAAAAATGCCTTAAATTTTTAAGATTTTCCCTGTGAGCTAGCAAAGTGTTTTTTTAGCTGGGAAATCTCAATATTCAAATAAAATATGAGGTTTCCTCTTTAAAAGGACATCAAAAATTCCCCATTAAAATGACATCAAATTAGGATTCAGACTAAATATTTATGTATTATTGTAACCAACAAGACAAATTAAGTCATATATATGGATTTAATTA